AATTCGAACAAAACATTCGAAATAGAAAGCCACTTTCAACCACTTTCAGCCTCATATCTCCCGCACCCTTATAGCTATCGAGACGCAACCACCCCTATGCACGAATGGAGACTTGGGGCTACCACCACATACAAACACCATTCACGTGCGATGTGTAGTTTTGGCGAAAACGTGAGATATAGGGACATACATGTCCATTTATATATATATATATATATATATATATAGATAGATAGATAGATAACCTAACATTCATAGAGGTTTAGAACGTCTTTAGATTATTTTATGCTTTTTATAACGATGGATGGAAACAACTGAATTTACTTTAATATAGAAACAATTTTAAAGAATATGAATTTAAATTACAATATAAATTATCACACTAATACGTTATTTTAAATATCAGCTACAAGCAAAGAAAATAAATTAATGTCAACGCCCTTATGTAACTAAATCGCTTATTGGACGTTACGAGATATTAAGAAAACTTGTTTTTGTTTTCGTGTAAGGAAACCCATTAGAAGACTTCGGTAAGTACGCCAGTTTAATTTCTGTGCTTGTAGCTAACATTTAAATTAATTAAGATAATATAAAATAACTTCTTAGTGTTATATNTATTCTTACCTTGGTGTTTCTAATAACGTTTGTTAGCTTACAGGAGAAAAGTGTTTTGCCTTGAGAATTAACATTTAAATAAAAAACGCAATTGTATTGTGACAATGATTTTTTGCATCTTTTACTACTTACTGGTGTAATAGCTATTTTCCCAGTAATAATTTACATAAACTTCCTTATATAATATCTAAAAGACATAGTCTAATAAAAGCTGGGTATTAATCGTGTATGCTTAGTAAATGTACAGTACTTTAACTCTTATTTAATTGTATTATTATAGGAACAATTATATATATATAATTTATAAAAAAATCAAATATAGTTGTCAATTAATTAAGTTTTCGTATTAAGATTGTCGACAATTATATAATTGCCTGCTCTCACGCCATTAGTTTAATTTGCTGCTTATTAAACATAAGGTAATTTTAAATATTTATTACATATTTCAGTTTTCTTATGATATTTTACAATTAACATTTTCGAAATTTATACTTATCAACCCCAAATTTATTTATAATTTATTAAGGTTAATTAAAGTTTAATTCGTTTTTTTTTTCTTTTCTTTGTTTCTACTCCAGAAGAATTCTGAGCAGATAGCCTTGTGAAAAACCTTGAATGGTAATCTACATGAACTGTTTATCGAATTAGAACGTACACACCCATAAAATATTCCTTATAAATCGAAAATAGAAATAAAAAAAATGTTTAAGTTACTAAAAAATGTTTGATTAACTCATAAATAGGGATTACTTTCTACAGAAAGTCTTCCCCCTTCTTCGTAGATCGTCCACCTGTAGTGTTACCTTTTCCTATCATTTCACTTTATTACTCAAAAATTAATTAAATTTTTATTTATATATTTTAGGAAAATAAATAAATCGATGCATCTTTACATCCTAATGATTCATTTTCAGGGTTCCTAGATAAGGCCCAAATTTAAACTGAGTAATGAGTTTATAAAACAATGGTTTGGAGCCCCCTGTTAGTGTGTGCCCAAGACAATTGCTTTTTTTTGCCCATTGGACCCTATTATATAGACTTAAATAGATTATTTTATCTTTAGAAATAATAAATACTAATTATAGTTTCATTAATAAGTAAGATAAATGTATAAATATAAATACAACCTGTCCTTGTTACAACCGTGTTAATGTTTATAATGGTAATTTTATTGCTGTTAAATTACAAGTTTAAACATTATCAAATTTAATAAAGCAATTAAACATTACCATTTTAGAGCCAAGAAAACACAAACAGTAAAATCAAATACTCGTGCAAATTCTATAAATGATTTGCAATGTTGTAGGTCATTAAACTCATGTATAAGTGTTGAAAGATAGAAAATGTTGCGTTGTTTTATTTTCTTATTATGGTCGCATGTATAACCTGTGATCCGGGATTGAGCATTTTCCCGAGGATACCGAGGGACGACTGTTAATTGAGATTCTGTTTGTAATAATAATTACAAATAGAACTTCAATTAACATATTTTTACAATTGGAATGAATCCAATAAAGTTATATAACTAAATTCATGATGTAAAAAAGCAAATAAAAAATAATTAGAAGGGAATAACAAAATACTTTTCTCTTTTTCAACGATCACCTATAATGTTTATAATACAATTTTACTGTATATATTTATTAAAGTAACAAATGATTTTTATTTATAAATAAATGGGGGTGAACTGGATCAGATTCAGAATTCGCTAACATGGTCTTGTTGTACCTTCCATTATACCGCTTTTTCATTTGAGAAAGAATATTATGGAACCCTTCTACGTGTTTATCACAAGCAGCTCTTAGATTGGTGAAAAAATCTAAACGAGAATCCATCTTGAGTGACATATTGCACTCCAGTGTTTGGTAGGACGTTACCAATATCTCCACGATTTCCTCAAAGTTTTTAGCCCCTATATTCTCTAAAAAATTCTTGTTTACGTTTTTAAATGTTATCCTTTCCGTTGGGTTAAGTTTTTCCTTGAAACTAAGATCTTTCAAAAAGTGTCTTAGTAGGGAACCATCAAAAATTCCCTCCTTAACTTGCGCATTGCTTAGAAAATCTGTGCTTTAGGTAAGCAAAGCATTTCCATTTTCTGTCCATACCTTTCACTAAATTTTTCATTAAACACAGCGTGATATGAAAATGATATTTAAGAAAAAAACATTAAAATTTAACACACAGTCTGTTGAAAATGAAATCACCATTTATTCAGTTTCAATGTTGCAGAATAAAATTTTTAACGATCGACTTTTCTTTATAGGCTATTTGGCCGTCAAAATTAAGAACTTCCCTTTAAAAACAATGAAAAAATATTGCAAAAAATATACAAGCATTTTAGTTTATTTGTTTTCTCTTCTAGAGTTAGGAAAGCGATATTCTTCTGATCTTGTACGTTTGCTGCCCGATTTGGCCCATTTTTTTACCAAGTACTGACTGGTTCTTGCTCGAAAAAACAGCAAAATTTAATGTATCCTGTGTATAAATTATCTTACTTGGACCTCGTTTATTAATTAATTAATAGGACTTATTATACTGGTTTAGTTTTTGATTAGATCTAAGTCAAAAGTCGAAACAAAATGTCTATTTTCGTGTGGGGCCACGATTTTCTTCGTCCAATTTGAAGCTTAATAACTTCTGTCCTTTTTGTCGAAAAGTCGTGAAATTTCGCAGAGAGTTTAGTATATTAGGGGGATATATGCTATTATATTTTGGTGGTTAAAAGTTAAGGGGTTGTGAGATAGATAGAGGTCATATGTCATATTTCGAATAATTGAATAAATACTTTTTATTGATTTAATTAATAATCTACTCGCTCTCTACTATCCGACCCATTCTGGGAGTGACCGAACCCAACTAAAAGATCTTCTAGTGCTCTCAGGATGGTGTTCATAGTCCGAGGTTTAATAATGCTAAACTATGAATAAAGAAAGTTTAATTTGTATACAACAATATGATACGTGGGCAATCCATCGATGGTGGGATTTTCTATCTCCCGGGTGGACTTTCTATCGAAAACTGGTCCCTATTTAGGTGTTATAAACGTGAAGGAAACCCGGAAATCTCCACGTGATCAGATCGTTGGTCAGAAGCGAACCCACGACCAAGTAACTACCAGTGTTCATTGGTTCTATCCATTGAGCTACTGTACTGTACGAATGCATTAAGCTGAATTTAATGTATTAAAAAAAACATCAGGAAACTATAGCTTACATTGCCATCCAAAATTACTCCTAATATCGATGGTCTGACCCATTTTAAGATCATGCTCATCCGTAATGCGAATATAATCAGCACCGGTGAGGAATGAGAAATACATACACTACTTTGTCCCATACACTATAGTAAACTATAAATGTATAGAACGGGAAATAACAGCATCCTTCCCAACAATAAGCTGAAATTACTCTCACAATAAGACAAAGTTCTATTGTTTCTTAAAATTAAATAGAAATTTGTTTGTACAATAAATGATTTAAATAATAATAATAATACTTTTATTTCTCAAAATTTACATATTTTGACATTAATTTAAAACGAATAACGTCATATTCTGGTATTATTACAAAATAGATCTGGATTAAATATCTCGTCTACGATTTCTATAAAATAATTCACTCTAATTCTTCACTAATCTTCACCCATTTCTTCTTTATACATCATTAAATATTCTTCGTTTATTCGAAAGAATTCTTCGTTGTCTTTGATCATGTTATTAGCTTCGGTAGGATCAAAACTTGGTAAATTTCCTCCTAATTCTAAGGGTAGACACTCTGGACTGATGAATTCGTGCAGATTACCCAAACCAGAATGGAAATGTAACTGTAATATATAATAAAAGAATAAAATCATAAATAAACCTGATATAAATCAATGAATATCCTCAGATATAATAAAACTTTTATAAAAAAAATAAATAAATAAATTTAAATAACATACCATGTTTTTGATCTCTCTCGGCAAAAGTGGTAAGAAAAGTTTTAAAACTGCTTTCATTATAAAATTTATATTGACAACATGTAATTCATCATATTGAATTTGATTGGAATCTTTCTATTTAAAAATAAATATATTTTAATTTACATAAATATTAAATGAAATAATCTACATATTTATTTATAACTTACAAATAAAATATTCACTATTCCATTGATTAATTTCGGTGTAACTTGAAAAAAATGCGATGTAGAAAATCCTTCAGCATTCGTAATACAAACAATTTTATTTACTTGAGTACGGTGGAAATTTAATTGAAAATCGAAGTAAAGTAACGAAGCACGAAATAAATCAACTGCATTTGAAATTGAAGTTTTCCAATTACCTGTAAAATACGAGTCAATTTTTCTGCTAATTCCACTTATACATAATTTCCCATAAGTGGGAATCTGTATTTTTTTAATGATACGCTTTAAATATTTCTTCTTTGTACACTGTACACTGATTAGCTAAACATATAAAAAACAATGAATTGATATACAAATAAGAAATACAGTAGAGCGTCGATTTTCCGAAAGTCAATCATCCGAAAGAATTCCAGTCGGCAAATTTAAATTTTCGTCAGTGCTGTGGCGCTTCAATCTTTGGCTATATCTTGGGCTACTCAAATATTTTACGTTTTTGATACTAAATTAACATCTGAAGTATAATTTTTTATTGTTTTTATATTTTTCAATATATTTATTTTGTTTGTACAAAATAAAAAAAAATAATTTTTAACGATACAATAGTCTTTGTTAGGCTTAACATCTACGAAAATCCAATGCGAAGCGACACGCAACGGATAAAAATTTCAACATCGAATAGGTTAAACTATTTTTTCGTACATAAATCGGTTATCCGAAATATCAGTTATACGAACAACCCCAGTCCCCAATTGATTCGGAAAATCTACGCTCTACTGTAACTAAATTTTCTAATAGAACATATCGAAAATAACTTGCAATGTGTCTATTAGAGAATTATTCCTCTAATAAATAACATGGTCTTTGCCACATGGCAGCCTATAACATAGCTTATAAACAAAACCACACCAATCAGATGCCAGTTAACGAATTTGTGGTATAATTAGATCCTTGCAAAGTAAATTTTGGATAGATTTAGGAAAACTGCTGCCATATTAGACAAAACAACGCAATTTGGACTACTTTTCAAATAGTGTGCCACTTGTTTCAGCAATTGAATCGGCGATAGTGATTAAAACTTTCTTTATACAAGTAAATGTACGTATGTAAGTGTTACTACCAACGTTGTAAAAGGATAGATTACAGTTAACAGATATGTACGATTGTTTATACTAATTCTTATAAATGGCATGCTAGTATCCAAGTAATTAAAGCCATGGCTACTTGTGGCTTAAAACGTATGGCCAAATTGCAATTGTTGATTTGAAAAACAAACTGTAAATACGACGTGTTATTACTACAATAGCCAAAAGTTTAGTTTATTTAAAATTTCTTAAATTTCACGTGAAGTTGTATAAATTAAATTATGACTTACCTACTTGATTAATCATAATATACCTTCCTTTCTGATCAGGTTTTGGCAAAAATTGAATACAATTCAGAGACAGAGCGTGCTCCAACTTAGAAGGAAGAAGATCTTTAAAGTATTGAAGATATTGTACTCTAATATTATAATAATTTTTGAGCAAATCGAGGGATTTTTCCACGTCGAAACTTTTAGCACGAAGAAATCCAAGAAGGAAAATGTCATCCATACGACATTTTATTCCTTCCTCGTCTAATAATAAAAAATAATAATACTTTTTAAATTTACGACTTAAATAAAATTATATTTAATTTTTTTGTATATTAATTAATAAATTTTTTTAACAAACTGAGTATTTTTATTTTTTATCATCATCATCACAATTAGTGTCTTAAACACTGTTTCTTTGTCATCTCATCTCTTATGAGGCTTGTTTTTATCTCTTCAGCCATAGGTTTGCAATTTTAACACAAAATTTCTAACTTTACAGATACTTACTTATAAGTTTTTTGAAAGCTTCTAAGGCATTTTCGTCCCATGAAAATAATTCTTTCTCTTCAGGAAATATCGAGTTCTTTATAATTATTTCATTCATTGAAAACTGTAAAATTTAATTTATTTAAAATTACTATATATATAAAAAAAAATATTTCTCTGATCATAAAAGTAAAAGTAATGCTACGAAATTTCACTTATTATTATTTTACTTTAACTTTGAATAAAACATCTGAAAAGTTCTCCTGAGAGATACCCCTCTTTGGCACATCGCCCATATGTCGTTGCCTAATTCCATCAATCCAACCTTTATCCATGTAAAAAAGCAAAATCACTTGTGATTTCTGACAAAGTGTGTGAAATGATTGAATTACCCATCTGAATCTCTATGTACAGTACATAGTTTCCACTCTTTATTATAGAGAATTTCTGATTACTTTATTTAATATTTATCTCATTCAGTAACCGGTTAATCACTGAATAAAATTTCCTGCTCTACCGGAGATTCACACGATCCCCATTATCTCCCCAAACCCTTGACCTTTTACCACCAAAATTTAACAGCAACAATCCCCCTAATAAACCAACCTCACTGTAAAATTTCAGAAATTTTCGGCAAAAAGCACAGGAGTTATTAAGCTTCAAATATGGTGAACAAAATCGTGCCACCCCACACAAACAAATACAGAAATTACCCTTAAAAATTATTTCAGTAAGTCCAAAATTGCGAAAATCTAAGGGGTCATTTTTTGCCGGATTGCCACACTTCCCCTCTGTATAACAGCCGTGAAAATAATAAGTGTAAATAAAATATATATATATATATATATATTATTAAATGATTAAATACAAAATATACTAATCTTTCAAGGTAATTTTTGATGAATTTGACAATAAATTAGTACAACAATATACGATTAACGACGAAAAATGTGACAAAATTAGATGAGAAGTTAAGTAACCTTACTGCTATCAAGATCTGTTAATAGGATAAATTATTCATTTATAGAATAATTATATATATTATAGACAAAATATATATATAGCTTACTGAATATATAGTGTACATTGTTTATATTTAATTTTTCCTGCAAAATTAATTACCGCATTTGACACTTGGTATTGTCACATTTCTCGGTAGATGTGGTACAACCACTTTAAATTAAATAGCTATCGTTACAAAACTTGTTAAGGAAAAAGCAAAACAAATTAAGAAATCGCCTCGATTTTAGCATAACAGATAAATACAGTCGACCCCCCATAACACTGTTGATTATTCCGTTTTATATGAATTCCATGTTGTACGAATCACTTAGATTTTACAAATACGTGTGCCGGGCTGTGAACGGATCACGTATTTGTAAAATCTAAGTGACTCTTACAACATGGAATTCATATAAAACGGAATAATCAACAGTGTTATAGGGGGGTCGACTTTATTTGTGAGGATAGTGAAAATTTCCTGTTTCCTTGTGCAGAGCAGTGACCTTCAACTCGTAGCTCGAGATCGATCTGTCGCTAGAGAAGTGATTGCTTTTATATCTTCATCTATTCAATTACAATACCTCAAAGTACTATTTGTTAAATTAGAAAAGAATAATAATAATTAGAACCAATTTATAGTGCTGTTATTGCACCAAGTTCGGTGTAATTGTACAGTGGTATCTCGCGGTAACTTAAGTCGTTCCAGAGGACATTTAAACAGCCTTCTGAAACGAATTTTTCCCGTAAGAAATAATGTAAATTAGATTAATCCGTTCTACACCCCTAAAATATACGTATTAAACTGTTTTAATTAAAATTTAACAATAAAATTGCATGTATAAATCTTGAAAAACCTGAACACAATGAAATAAATGCAAATATATTGTCACTTTACCTGTAACTTCCAAACTCCATTGATGGAGTTTGGAAGATAGTGGAGAGGGTAAAGATAATATTGTTTGGAAGACTGACACGTTTTTTTTTAAATGTAAGGGCATATTAATATTGTAGGCAGCTAAAGAAGCCAATGATACAGTTCGTTTCATATAAACCGGACTCTGTCATTACTCTCATACCTAGAGCGTAGACTTAACCTATTTACAAGGGCGAACATACTTTTAAAAAGCTCCATATATGTTGTAAATTTATGTTAAATATAAACTCTACTGTACTTTCGATTACTTTTAAATCTTACCTGTATGCCACTTCACAGAATCGTGCTCGAAACTCGTCTTGATTGATGTAAAGGATAAAGGATATTTAACAGTCCAGTGTTTTCGTCTACATTACGTTTTAAAGACGTATAGATATTAAAAACACGATTCCAAAGCAACTAAAGTAGCCTACACATTCAACTTAAACACTATTAATCGTCATAAATGTGTAACATTTACTCACCTAAGTAAAGTCTGTCTTATAAGATGGCAATATCAGAATAATTGTAAATGTCGAGTGTACGAAACAAAGCAATCAAAGTTTGAGTTATGACCTGTTCTACCTGTATATCTGTACGGTTTTACTTCGACGCAATAATTGCGTAGCAACTTCCTTATCATACGTAATTATCTAATGAAGTCTTTAAGAAAAATCACTTCTATTCAGTAAGATAGAGCTGATCATTTTATATAGTAAATTCAAACTTTGCTAGCGTGCTTAAAATGTATAAATTACTTTAATATCCTTGAATATAGAAGCACTCCGAAGGTTAATGAAACAAAACACGTAATATTTTAAGGAAAAACTGGTAATTATAAAAAATACAACACAGGAAAATTCATGATAGAAATAAAAGTCTCTAGCTTTAATTTTACAACTTTTACAGTAACATTAACTTATTTTATGCAATTTAAAGACGAAAATTATTTTTTAATTCAAGTACTAAACTCAAATAATAAATATATAAAAATTTCACTTTACTAGAATAAAACAAACTACTAAACAATTGGTTAGACACATAGAAAGACCTCTTTGGCAGATTGCCCAAGTGTTGAATTATCTTTTCATCTGTCCTATATCTTACATCCTTGCAAATTTCGTCATTATAATGTTTAACTAACTCGAAAAATTCAAATTTCCTAAATTATAAAATATAAATGCAATTGAGATTACTATACATAACCTGGGGAAAGGGTTACTAAACAGTAAAATTCGTTTATTGTAATCATTGGGATTCGCTATTACTGATTATAATAACCAATCGATAACTTTAACAGGTTAATAATATAAATTTAATATTATTTATGTATGTTTGTAGATTCGTTCCAACTTATTTTACAAAAATAATTCCTTTGAAACGACGATAAAGATCATTCTTAGTACAGCAACCGAACAAAATATATATGTCGAGAGATGATAATTTCTGTATATTTTAAAAGGAAGCTTTGAAAGATAATAGGAAATAATAACATTTAAGTACTTTCAAAATATTCACGCATCATTAGGTTTTACCTCAAAAGCCATAAACTAACTTACCTGTATTCAGGTAAAGGACACCGATTAAAAGGTAATAACATCACTGCTCATTTCAGTCAGGTGGTTATTTAGATCACGTGTTCTGAATAATTTAACTGTTTTATTAACTTACTATTTTAAAAAATGAAAGTCTATTTTTTTCATACTCATTTTGCCATTTTTTGACGATAATCATCAAGTAAAAAACATTTAGAGGAGAAGGTGGTATTATGGAACCCCAATAACCTTTTAGTGAATTGTAAACAAGGTATCATAACTACACCCACATTTTTTGTGCGAAAAGTACTGGTAACTAGTAAACTAAATGTTCCTAGTTGGATTTTTCGCTAGTGTAACTATAAGTATGGTTTTTGAAGGCTTTTGTACAAAAAGTCCGAAAGTAGGCTTAGAAAAAATCGGGTGGTAATATGGAACCTTACTGTATATTTTCAAAAAAATGCTTTAATGTAGCCAAAAACAAATAGGAAAGTACAAAGAATGTTAAATAATTACAAAATTATTTACTTCAATGTATTTTATCGCAAAAATGCTTTTATAATAGAAAATATGACCTCCATCAACAATATATATTCCAGCAGCTCTTTTTCGATATTCTCAGGAAGAATTGACATTCTACCTAATGTCTTTTTCACAAATTGCTCTGGAGGAATGTCTGCTTGCAAATAGAAAGTTCGGAGGAGTTGAGTTCCATATTACTGTAAAAACACCAAAGCGGTCCGTATTTCATGCATCGCTATCTCGAATTAACTTATGTCTGTCGAGACCAAAATTTAAAAAACGTGAACATCATACAGATTAATATGTACCCCTAAGTCTCCGGAACGGAATACATGCACCAGTGAACCTACAACTATACGATTTATATTTTAAAAATAATTAAATTCATTTAGCATTCAAAACTTGCGATTTTTGAAAAAAACAAATTTGCTGATTAAATACGGACAACCGTTTAACTGAAGTAAAACGGGTTTTCCCCTTGCTATGGATGTCTGCCTAGTTCAGCTCAGCCACAATTCGCTACAGTTCGCCTTTATTATCAGTTCGAAATCGGGTGGTTCCATAATACCTGCAATGTTCCATAATACCACCTTCTCCTCTATAATTTTTCCTATATTATATTCTTTTTTTATATGTTCTGAATATTAAACTATCGTTCTATCTTCTTATGTTAATACACAAATACAGTCGACCCCCCTATAACACGGTAGATACGTTCCTGTTTTTTTTTATGAATCCAGCTTCTATGAGTCCAGCCAATCACAGCCAGGCACGTATGCAGTTTAAAGACTACGGCTGTTTGAAAGGTTTTCTTTCATAAAATTAATCGATTTTAGTCTAATTCGACTCAACATTTCCAAAACTAGTATAATTTTTTGGGAAAAATCCATATAAACTTTGTTATAAACAAAAAATTGTAGGATTACTTACCGAGTGTGAACCGTCCGACGACGCCGTTGCTTAAGCTTGTTTTCGTCGTGGAGATTGTCATCGAATGGCGCTCGCGTGCTTCCCGATAAATTATTTTTTTTTTGCGAAAAATTCGCTGAACTTTAGAGACATCCTTTTAGCACGAAGAAATCCAAGAAGAAAAATGTCATCCATACGACATTTTATTTTGTGCAATCCTGTCGCGATACGAGTCGGCGATGACGTTTTACCGAATTATAGGAGTTTTTTTTAGCATGTTTGTACGAATACTGTCACAATTTTTTCGCCGTGATATAGGAATCCGAACTATAGGAACACGTGTTATAGGGGTGGGGTCGACTGTAATTTATTGATTTATTGATTATTAGGCCCAAATTAACCAATAAATAATGTAGATAGTAAGAATTTTATTTATCGAAAGTTAAATATTTTGACATTAATTAATTACAAATGCTTATTGTAATATTCAGATCCCGTTACAAAATACATCTGAATTATTAAAATAATAATTCATTTTCTTGTCTAAAGATTTCTATGGAATGTATTTCACTCTGATCTTCTCTCAATCTTCTTACCTTGAAGATTTTTTATCAATTTCTTCTTTATACATCATTAAATATTCTTCGTTTATTCGAAAGAATTCTTCGTTGTCTTTGATCATTTTATTAGTTTCGGTAGGATCAAAACTTGGCAAATTTCCTCCGTATTCTAGGGGTAGACACTCTGGACTGACGAATTCGTGCAGATTACCCAAACCTGAATGGAAATGCAACTGTAATAATATACAATAATTAATTTATTGCATATAGACAAGGGAAAGTCATAACAATAGATATTCTTCTTCCAAGAATAACCCCCGTAATAAAAGATTAAAATACAAATAACAAAGAATAAAAAAAACAATAGACATGGTAAATTAGTTTTTAACTCGGGTATCATAAAATTCTTTATAAAGTAATAAGTAAATTTTAAAAACATACCTTCTTTTTGAGTTCTTGTGACAAAAGTGGCTTGAAAATATTTACAACTGCTTTCATTATAAAATTCATATTGACAACATGCAATTCACTGTAATGAATTTGATACGAATCCTTCTATTTAAGAAAAAGTATTTAAATTTACAAAAAAAAACTTACTCTCTTATTTAATTTACCGAATTTGTGATTCGTCCCATACATAAAATATTAAAGAAAATAATAAATATTAACATGGCCGACGGTATTACATTTAATAAAATATAAAAATATAAAATTACAACGTTTAACAATACTTTGTTTCCGTTTGTTCATCTGTCGTTCGCTCCAGTTGACAGTCCACAAAAATTACAATCACGGAGGCGACCTTTCTTTAGAGGCTGCTGCCTCCGCAATAAAATGCAAATATGGTTAAAAANAAAGTGGCAATAGCACCAGAGGACGTTTTTAACCATATTTGCATTTTATTGCGGAGGCAGCAGCCTCTAAAGAAAGGTCGCCTCCGTGATTGTAATTTTTGTGGACTGTCAACTGGAGCGAACGACGGATGAACAAACGGAAACAAAGTATTGTTAAACGTTGTAATTTTATATTTTTATATTTTATTAAATGTAATACCGTCGGCCATGTTAATATTTATTATTTTCTTCAAAATGAATTTTTGTGAAAGTGGCAATAGCACCAGAGGACGTTTTTAACCATATTTGCATTTTATTGCGGAGGCAGCAGCCTCTAAAGAAAGGTCGCCTCCGTGATTGTAATTTTTGTGGACTGTCAACTGGAGCGAACGACGGATGAACAAACGGAAACAAAGTATTGTTAAACGTTGTAATTTTATATTTTTATATTTTATAAAATATTAAATTAAATATTCTACGTATTTATTTACAACTTGATATTACTCACAAATAAAATATTCATTGTTGCATTGACTAATTTCGGTGTTAGTTGAAGAAAATGGGATGTGCAATATCCCGCAGCATCTGTGATGTAAACTATTTCATTCACCTGAGTACGATGGAAGTTTACTTGAAAATCGAAGTAAAGCATCAAAGTGCGAAATAAATCGATTGCATTTGCAATAGAAGTTTTCCAATTACCTTCAAAATACAAAGTAATTTTGATAATTCTAAAAAGAATTTTGCATAAGAGACATTTGTAATTTTTAAGAATTACATAGAGCGTCGTTTATCCGAAACGTCGGTTATCCGAAAACTTTCCAGTCGGCAAATTTAAATTTTCGCTAGTGCTGTGACGCTGCAATCTTTGGCTATATCTTGGGCTACTCCAATATTTTTTTTTTTGTTGGTGTATGTGTTTTAGCTGGCAGCACTGGCACTTTTGTGTGGTGTTTTTCTGAGGACTGTGTCGAACGTTTTTGATACTAAATCAACTTCTAAAGTATACTTTTTTGGTTTTTATATTTTTCAATATATTTATTTTGTTTGTACAAAATAAAAAAATAATTTTTAACGATACAATAGCCACAATAATTATTTTAAAAAGTTTTCGTTCGGCTTAATATCGACGAAAATTCAACGCGAAGCGACACGCAACGGAGAAAAATTTCAACATGTGATAGGTTAATGTATTTTTCATGCATAATCGGTTATCCGAAAAATAAGTTATCCGAAGAACCCGTCCCCAATTGATTCGGATAAACACGCTCTACTGTAACAATAAAAGCATTATAGTGTACTGTACTGTACTGTACTGTACATCTGTATTTATAAAAAGATTTATTATATTATTAGTGATAAAGATTAAATTATGTCTTACCTATTCGATTAATGAAAATGTATCTTCCTTTCTTATCAGGTCTTGGCAAAAATTGAACACAATTCAGTGACAGAGCGTGTTCCACCTTAGAAGGAAGAAGATCTTTAAAGTATTGAAAATATTGTATTCTAATATCATAATAACTTTTGAGCATATCCAGGGATTTTTCCACTTCGAAACTTTTAGCACGAAGAAATCCAAGAAGAAAAATGTCATCCATACGACATTTTATTCCTTCCTCGTCTATTAAAAAGATAATTTTTAAATTTACGATTTTTATAAAATTGGGCATTTTAATTCCGAAAAATCATGTTTAATTTTATATATATATATAGCCTATATACAGTAAACTCTCGTTAATTCGAACTTGGAGTGACAGCCTTAAGTAGTTTGAATTAATTTTAATTTCTGTCTCTTGCCACCTTATCAACACTAAGTTCTTTTTATTTTCGCGACTGTTACATATAATAGAGAGAAAGTATGGCAAAAAATTACCCACTCCCCCAAGATTTTTACATTTTTTTGGACTCAGGACACGTTAAAACAATTTATCGACGTTAAAACGTCGATAAATGCAAAAAAGGGGGTTTTCTGTATGTATGTATGTTAGTGTATGAGTGTGTGTGTGTGAGGAACACCATCATCGTCATCTCAACAACTGCCTCAGATTTATTTTTGTTTTCAACTCATCTCTTCAAGGGCTGGCTTTTACTCTTCATCCATTGTTAGCGAAATTTAAGATAATTTCTACGTTTTGTAATTTATAATCACTCCAAATTTTATAGGTCTAATTATAATTTCAAAATTTATTAAATTATAAGTTCAAATAACACAAATAATGCCTTACAAATTTGCGAATTTTACTTACTTATGAGATTTTTGAAAGTTTCTAAGGCATTTTCATCCCAGGAAAATAATTCTGTCTCTTCAGGAAATATTGAATTCTTTAAAATTATTTTATTCATTGAAAACTGTAAAATTTAATTTATTTAAAATTACTATTTATGGTGAAAGTATTATATTAAGAATTAATACAAGAGAGTATATAAGATGTTTATAAGAAAACTGTAATAAAGTATATAATGGGTTTCTCTATTTCTAATAAAGTATTTCTGGAGAATTCCCCAGAAGGTGGTTTAATCGACGTGGGCCTGTGAAAAGACCACCAAATAGACTCGACTTCATACCATAGGAGTTGTACATGAAGGGTCGCCTGAAGGCTCTCGTTTATAAACAGAAGATAATGTCACTTACTTATTTAAAGTCACAGAAATGTCAGGTCGTGACCCCCGAGATCTTGAAACATAAGTGGATAATAGTCTGAATAATTGTGCCACAAGAAGGCAATTATGTCGAACGTTAATTGAAAATCTATTTTGGCCGTGGTGCGTGACTTATACAGTTAAGTCAACAGTAATTTAACATAATTAAATTAATATAATTAGCCAGGTCTTTCTTCCCCTTTGTTTTCCATATCTGGCCTTACATTTCATCTATCTAACATCGTACTGAAGATTAAGGAAGGACTGGCAGACAGTGGGAAATTATAGGTCTACAAATTTAATAAGTAATAAGATAATTATGATTACAAATAAAAAAGTCAAGTATTTTGTAAAGAAATACTTGATTCGCTTATTTTGCTGTCAACGTTATGAGAGAGTGACTTACCTTTATTATAATACTTATAATTACTTTCTACGTTACTTATATCAATAAAAAGCACTACATATCCCTTGACACAAATACAGAAAGCTATACAGCCTTGATCCCAGACTTAATCTATTAACAAGGGCCTACAGTATTTTATAATTATTTATTTAAATTTGTTTATATTAAACAAGAGATATCGTCTCTAAATTTAAGTAATGTTGAGATATAAAACTATTTTTCTAGTAATATTTTTGCTTAAATTAATGTTTAAAATTGTCTTTAAAACGGATATAAGTAAAGAGATGACAATAATTATTACAGTTTGACGTAAATAATTGTTGTCATTTGTGTAAAGACTAGAAAAGATTGAAGATCCTTAATGAACACCCATGATTCGTGTGTATACAAGCTCATTTATTTGCTAGAAACGTACTGGATTTCCTCCCAGATATCACTAACATACCACGTGTCTTATTATTATTGAAGAAATATTAACATTCTGGGTTATCAAATGATTCGGAGCACAGAGAAGATCGTTCTACCTTCCAGCTGGGTGAGAATGTCACAAGAGAGATATAATAAATGAACATAATTGTTTGATATCATGTTTAGTTTATAGATAAAAAAAAGTAGCAGAAACCTGTTCAAAACAGAAAAAGTAATTCGATACCATGCGATTCCGATTCATACAAGGTCAAATTTATTACACATGTGAAACTGGCCCCCAAAGTAAATAAGCGTTTAAAATCTTGTTATAAACAATAACTATAGATTAATTACGTGTCAAGTTTATGGAGGAGAGTAGGTATATTTAAGAGCCTTGTAATTTGATCAGATTATATATTACCGTATTGATTTTATTTATTTTAATAGATACAGAATGATTGTAGCATAATTTAAAGCTTACAGATTACATTATATTATAGAATTAAAATAATTTATAATTATTTGCTAATTATATATGCTAATTAATTACATTTCAGAGTTCCTGAATGCAAAAAATATCAAGTGATGGTAATTAGAATACAGTAGGTCCTACTTCAATTCAATGCTATTGAGAGAGATTTTTATCAATTTAAATGCAACAAAATCTAATTTGGTGACATTTCAGAACACATCGAAAACGTTTCTGTTAAATAAAATAAAGAAATAGTACCAGAATTCGCTTCTACGGTACATTTATCGTTGCAAGCAACAAACAATATTTGTTCAAGACACTCGTAGGCATTAGACATGCTAGGTTATTGCTTAGTGTTATCATTATTCTTAGGGTATAAAAACGTAAAGTTGTCCCTAAAGTATTGTTTTTCTCTTTTTTTCCCATTTCTTTATATCCTTTTCTCTACGGAAAAGTCTATTGGTTTGGTCTGTTTGGTCTGAGTGTTACATGCAACCGGATGATCTGTAATTAGAATTGCATTCGTAACGTTGGCTGCAAAAAGAGACCTGTTCCTATAATAGTTGGTCGTGTGTTTGCATCTGATCGACAGGTTGCTCGCGTGGAGTTTTGGAGTGTTATTAACGTAAGTAACATGTAAATAGATGCCAGATTCTCATAGAAAATTCCCTCGTGAGGTATTCATCCATATGTTGCATTACCTCATCCTATAAAACCAATCCAATCCGATTGTTTGATACTGTGTTTAAATGCTATGAAATTTGCAACAATTCGATAAACCTCATAAATAAGACTGTTTTTACGTTTCTCTCAGCAAAAAAGTCTTCCTTTCCTCATTAAATAGGTTTTTAGATTATATTACAATTATACATAGGAAATCTTTTCATTCAAAGTCTGATTTTTCTTACTTATTAGAAACAGCTATTAAAATAAGTAATTAAGTAAATATATGTGTAATAAATGTACACATGAACTCACCTTTGTATGCAGTCTGTCTACACTGGTTGAGAATATCACAATGATTTTAAGTGTTGCGTGTGCGAAGCAAGGTGATCCAGTTTAAGTTACTGTTTTAATTATACTGTACCTACGTGTATACGATTTTACTTTAACGCAGCAAATTGCGTAACAACTTTCTTATCACAAGTAATAATATAATTAAATTTTTAAGAGAAATCACTTCTATTTAGGAATGCAAAGTTGTTCTTTTCGTAGTGTAACATCGACGTTTGATAATGTAGCTTAATATCTATGAATTATTTTTAATGACCTTGAATGAAGACGTTTCAGTCCGAAGATTATTGGAGGGGAAAGAAAAGATAATGTTAATTACACGAATGGCTCCACGCGCCATCACTTGTGATTACAAGTGATGGCGCGTGGAGTTTACCGGATTTTCTTCGAAGATTTAACACCTAATTAGTGGCTAGTTTCCCGTAGAAAGTTCTTCTAAAATGCATCTTCCTCATGACAAATCGTCCATGTGTAACGTTGCTTTAAGTTATTAAATAAAACGAACCAAACCAACTGACGCAACAACGAATTAAATTATGCAAAAATATAGACTATAATTAATTAAAAATTCAAGTTTTCGAAACTATACAGTACTGTGTATAATTCGTTTATTGTAATTAATTTGTACTGATTATAATAACTTTAATAGGATAAGTAAAAATACTTACTATTAATTAAAATTCTTATTATATCGACTCTGATATTACTAATTTTATTAATTATTATTATTATTATTATCCACTAAACAATTTATTTAGTATTGTTTTCCTGTTACTGTATTTAACAATATTAAAGTAAGAATTTTAAATGACTTTACTACAAATAAGTACTGATTAAAATGATAAACAGTTAACCTTCAGAGAACTGTTTAAATCGATAACGATTGAAAAACAAGTATAATATAATTAAATACAAGGGTTTACACTGAGATCTCTATCGATCATGCAGGAATAAGTAGATTCATTAGGAGTGTCGATAAAGTATTATGAACTTTATCCACTCACTAGTGTCCGAGTGGATAAAACCACTAAACACTGGTCTCAGATTCGAGCCTCACTATCTTAGTCGCGTGTTTTACGGATTTTCTTCACCTAAATAGGGACCAGTTTACCATATAAGTCATCCCTAGTGGTATCTATAACTTCACACATTTCACGTGTGGCATTCATTACCTTATACTATCTCTTATATTATATTATATTATGCTATTTCTTTACTGATGTAACTATGCTATTTATATAGGAGTATACTACATATATCGCCTTGATAATTCATAATTTTACCTGTTAATTTATTTATAGGAAAGATGGAACATTTCGCATAATAATAAGAACAATATAAAGCTATAAAATTGGAAAGAAAATATGCAATTTAAACTACCTTACCGTTTTAATTAAAACACATATATTCTAGATCTTAATAAAATAAAATTAAGCGTTTGACTTGTGACTAAAAAGTATTAAGACTATGTGTGTGTGTGTGTGTGTGTGTGTGTGTGTGTTTTATTAAAATAAAAGGAAAAATTAAAGATATTTTAGTCACGCAAAGAAAATATCTGATATTAGAACTTGAAAATCAAGTTTTAATAATTATTTCTGAGAACAAAATAAACTTTCAATATTATTATCTAAGAAAATATAATATAAATTATAAACTATAACTTCGAAAAATACCAGAATTTCGTGTATAATATGCTAATCAGCGATTCGTCATGGTGTAGGAGTCTTAGGGGTCCTCTACACATAACAAAAGAAACGTTGAAAAACATTGGTGTAGCCCTTTAAAGTGATGAGCTGAATCTGGAGTCTCTGAATTAGATATTTAGATGCACAACCCAAACCATGTTAAGTTAATTTAGGTTCAATGCGAACTTCATTTTTTTATACAACACATCCCCTATCTGTAGGGCCCCAAGCTTTGACTTCTTCGAGGAAAACTTTTCCTCGAAGAAGTCAAAGCCTGGGGCCTCGAAAAGGCCTCATGAAGTTATAGAAGTACATTGTTAGGAACCCAGGCTAATTTGCTTATTTTATCCCCCTCAAGGCTTTTCCAGTGATAACTAGTTTATCATTATGCCATTCTAAACATAAATAAATTGATAGTAAAAGGGAATATAACACTTAAGAAACTTTATAAATTAATTTTTAATATATTTAGTTTTTATCTAAATTCTATAAATTTTGTTTATTTTCCATATATTAACGATTAATTTATGCACGTCCCGTTCTTGTTTTAATATACACACCTGTAATTTTAGCTTTCCTCGTCAAGGTTTTCTACTGATAACTCTTTATTTAAAAAGTAGAATATACAATAATAAATATGCAATTAGATTTTTAATAATATTACTTTCAGGGTTAAATATTCCTTTATATATTTAAAAATATTATTTTAAAATTAATTAAAGTTTCCTTAAATGAAAGCATTTTTATCGAAATTTAAAAAAACCTTTAATTATAATTAAGAAATTTAATTATATTATACGAAAGGTTCGTCGGTTTTAATGAGATAAAACTCATCTTTCAGGAGGCGTGTCTTTCGGATGTGTTTCCATGGTAATATCCAATAGCACATTTAGCTAAACGTTGATTGGTCAATTTATGTAGTGGGAAATTGAATATTTGCGATGCGGATTGGACGAGAAGTTTTGCTAATGCGTACGTTGATCAATAGTATAGTTTGTACAGAAAAAAGTAAAATAAATTTATAAATCATTAGTAAAGATTTTACGTAGATTTCTATTATATTATATATTTACTTTTATAGTAAGAATAATTTGATAAATTCCTTTATTAAAATAGTAGTGTTTTCATTGTTATTATTTATTTATTTATTTTACAATTATAGTGTTACTATGTGTCTTATGTATATCCATGTGTATCCATGTATGAGTGGAGATATACATGAAAACACAAACACATAATTATGTATGTGGACGTTGTTGTATTATGTATTTACGCCCTCTCCTTTTACTACTACAGTAAACGCCTTGTGCATTGGATAACCTCCACCCCTACATGTGATAGCTGTGAATGTATACGTAATATGTCTAATTAACATAATTGATAACTATTTCCGCGACACCCCTAAATTTTTATGCCCTAGGCGACTTCCTAGACAGCTCGAGTCGACCCTGAGATTCATTATGTACTGTGTCATTGTACAGTACGTTTTTTCAGATTATACTTGAAAGTCCTCGTCTATTTAATGTAAGATGATGCAGTTTATAACGTTTTATTCAGTAACAAATAATTAAATACAATTAAACCATTATACTGTATAAAAAGCTGTTCTGCGAGCAACCTGATAGTCAACATTGCCTTTTCCTATTGTCAGGGCCAATTGAATTCTAAACATTTGTAAATATACATGTTCTATGTATAATACATTAGAAAAATACTCCTATATTTGTACTTTATTGCGTAATTTACGAAATATTCAATTATTTATACTGTATTAGAATAATTATAAAGCGAAATGATGCGGAAAAGATACGAAAAATGATATTTGCTCGCTTTTCTTCTGTGTTTTTTCATACTTGTTAAATACGGTAAAACCTGTCCAAAACGATACTCGAAACCTGTCAAATGGGGAAAATATTCGGTACCTTGCGATTTTGGTTTACGCAGGCTTTACTGTGTTATTGAAGAAGCATTGTAATATTTTGAATCTTAATGGGATGAAGGTAGTCATGTGACTTTTCAATACGTAACGTCGCGCATTCCCTGCCAGTTTCTCATACTTTATTTACATTTTTGTTTGAATTTATAAGCTCATTTATTCGAAAATACATCTAATAAAGTTATAATCTATAACAAATATATGTGTTAAAGTACTTACGAATAAAGTAAAAGTCTTTGAAGTATGAATAAAGTACTTCAAAGATCTTACTTTCTAAACGAACACCAATCATGGAAGTTGCCATCAAACGAGAGATTGTGTTGAAGCACAATATATATGTATATCTCTACAATTAATAATCAGGGAGTAATCAGATAGGAAGGCTTAAGCCCCTCTAATCCTCCGTATACAACCGCCACTGCATGTCACAAAATAACTAGGTCGTCGTCGTCGTCAGCCATCTTTAACTTGTTCTCCTTTTTTCCCGCCAGATAGCGTACGAATGAAGGGCACATGCAATGAAGTCACGTGATTATATGCTGGATTGGAGAGAGAAATCGTTCATGTGGGTACACAGATTTCATTTTTGTATTTTTTTTTTTTTTTTTTTTTTTTTTTTTTTTTTTTTTTTTTTTTTTTTTTTTTTTTTTTTTTTTTTTTTTTTTTTTTTTTTTTTTTTTTTTTTTTTTTTTTTTTTTTTTTTTTTTTTTTTTTTTTTTTTTTTTTTTTTTTTTTTTTTTTTTTTTTTTTTTTTTTTTTTTTTTTTTTTTTTTTTTTTTTTTTTTTTTTTTTTTTTTTTTTTTTTTTTTTTTTTTTTTTTTTTTTTTTTTTTTTTTTTTTTTTTTTTTTTTTTTTTTTTTTTTTTTTTTTTTTTTTTTTTTTTTTTTTTTTTTTTTTTTTTTTTTTTTTTTTTTTTTTTTTTTTTTTTTTTTTTTTTTTTTTTTTTTTTTTTTTTTTTTTTTTTTTTTTTTTTTTTTTTTTTTTTTTTTTTTTTTTTTTTTTTTTTTTTTTTTTTTTTTTTTTTTTTTTTTTTTTTTTTTTTTTTTTTTTTTTTTTTTTTTTTTTTTTTTTTTTTTTTTTTTTTTTTTTTTTTTTTTTTTTTTTTTTTTTTTTTTTTTTTTTTTTTTTTTTTTTTTTTTTTTTTTTTTTTTTTTTTTTTTTTTTTTTTTTTTTTTTTTTTTTTTTTTTTTTTTTTTTTTTTTTTTTTTTTTTTTTTTTTTTTTTTTTTTTTTTTTTTTTTTTTTTTTTTTTTTTTTTTTTTTTTTTTTTTTTTTTTTTTTTTTTTTTTTTTTTTTTTTTTTTTTTTTTTTTTTTTTTTTTTTTTTTTTTTTTTTTTTTTTTTTTTTTTTTTTTTTTTTTTTTTTTTTTTTTTTTTTTTTTTTTTTTTTTTTTTTTTTTTTTTTTTTTTTTTTTTTTTTTTTTTTTTTTTTTTTTTTTTTTTTTTTTTTTTTTTTTTTTTTTTTTTTTTTTTTTTTTTTTTTTTTTTTTTTTTTTTTTTTTTTTTTTTTTTTTTTTTTTTTTTTTTTTTTTTTTTTTTTTTTTTTTTTTTTTTTTTTTTTTTTTTTTTTTTTTTTTTTTTTTTTTTTTTTTTTTTTTTTTTTTTTTTT